CACACACACACACACACACACTCAAACACACACACACACACAAACGGCATGAATGTCACCGTACAACATGATTGCATCACATTTATATGGTACTTAAAAAAATGAAAGATTTTAAGATAACTTAAAGAACAGAAGAGTTGCATGACAGCTGTGAAGTAGATTTGTGAAGAACGCACTCTGTATGTATGGTGTTGTGATATGTTTGTAAGCACATCTAATCAGTCAGACAGTGTTTGCTGGTCTCTAGTCTGGCCAGTCTGGTGTGTTTCATTTGTTTCTGGGCTTTGTGCGCTTACACCACCAGTTTGGAAAGACCAGCAGACCAGCAAACCACCTGAGGCCAGATCAGTGGGCTCGTGTAAGATCTCGAACCTTCCCTGAGGTCTTGACTCCCTTCCACAGACTGAAGTAGAGCACCACGATGACCACAGCCAGGCAGCAGGTGAGCTGCCAGCGCGGCAGACCCAGGTCATCGATGCCGGAGCTCTCGTGGAGATGAAGCACGCCTCGCCTGCAGATCAACACCAACACGTGATCACACGCTACACTCACGGGTCTGGCTGCTTTCTCTGTGTCTGTGAAGGTCATGTGTACGTACTCGAAGTACTCGAGCGCCGGCGTGGTCTTGTGCGTGTCGTTGAGCAGCGTGGAGCTGAGGTCGGAGCAGTTGGGACTGTTCCAGGTGTTGTTGCAGTGGATCCAGGGCAGCTCCCCGGAGAAGCAGGAGAACAGGTAGAAGAGAGCCCAGGCGATGATCACGTTATAGTAGAAGCCCACGTACAGCGAGATCAGGATCACCGTGAAGCCCACGCCTGAGCAAAACCAGCAGAAACACCATCAGCTGCTCCGCTAAACCAGCTCTAAGATCAGACATATTTACATTTATAACATAAATTTCAGATGAGGGAATTCATAAACGGTGCTGAAAAATTGGAGTTGGATTCACTTAAATTAGATTGGCATTAATTAAATGAATAGGACTTACTTAAATTTCACAAATAAATGGTGAGAACTACATAGAAATGTGAATTTTTGAAGTAGAAAAACTGAAATAGTGTTTTCTCTGTTTATTGATTGATTGATTGATTTATGTTATATTTTATTTGATCTTTTCATTGTAGACTATATTTAAAATGACACAAATTAATCTTAATATCATTATTAATTCATTTGACTTTAATTTAGCATAATATACATTTTTACTCACTTTTACTAAGCAAAAACGTAATATTATATTGTGTTTTGTGTAGAATCCTGTTAGAACATTATTTTACCCCACTGCAAACAAACAAACAAACAAACAAACAA